AACTTCTGCGATGTGACGGGTGTGATGGAGGAAGAGACATCAGCTGTGCATTCGGCACCAACCTCAAACTGCACACTCTTCGGTCCAACTTAAAATGGGCTTAAATGGTTCTAGTTCTAAGCTTAAATGGGCTTACATCCTTTTTGAGGTGGTATTAAGCTATGTTGTGCCCCCAACAAAGGTGTCGCCTCTCATGTCTGTCTGAACAACCGCAGACTCTGGACTTAGACCGGACCGCACCAAGGCTTCACAATGCTTCACAAGACTGGGTGTGGAACACGGTGTGTTCCAGGGTGACAGGGAGAGTATATGACAGGGCTGGTTGGAGAGTTTTCCAGTCTGAGATAGATCCAGTCCGCAATACACGAAGTGGAAACTTTCGTCAAGGAACGTCTGCAGGTCAAAAGGCCTTCCGGTCCCTAAAAGTAGGCCTTGAACAGAGCCCAATGCCACTGGATACAGCAACAAAACATTCACATCTCAAGGGCCACCGCCATGTCTGTCGCACTGACCACTCATCCGACTCATCCTCTCGACTCTATGCAGCGATTGGCACGGGTCCCTCACGGCCATCGAGGCGGTCTCGGAGCTGAGACGGAGACGTCGTGTGTCCGGTTGTTGAAGCGAAGCATGTCATAAGAGGTGGTAACCAGAAAGTGAGAAAAAAGCCATGATGGCAAGCTCAGAAATGGGTCTGGCACTGGAATGAATGTTGGCGCACTTTGGAAACAAACTGCTAGGCTGTTACTTTTGAGTGTTCTGAGCATTGCGGAACCCGACGATATTGGACTTGTCCAACGCCGCCCCGTTTTGATCAACAAACCCTGATGCTAACGGCCTAAAGAGGGCAAGATGCCACACCGAGGCGTGTATTCTCTAATACATGTCCGGTGAAGGCAATCTACTTGATTGATCCCTTCACTCCAAAGGGGTGGTCCTTTGCGAAAAAGAACGAGCTCAAAGACTTGCGTCCCAACTGTGTCTCGTGATGAGCTTCACTTCCGCGAAATCCCGCAAGGCGAAGCTCTGCGAGCTTCACACGATGCGGACCCGATCCGGCTTCCAACAAGCGATTTAAGGATCTTTACCGAACAACCATTGTTTTACTTAAGGAATTTACATGAATTTACACTGACTACTTACACCAGTCTTTTGGAGGTCATTCCAGGAAGGCAACCGGGTTGGACATCGAAACAAGGCACGTTGGATATCGTTGGATGTGTTGGATGTGACATCGAATCTTTCAACGGTATCTGCCAGGGTCGACAAACATGACAAACAGTACACACCATGCTCAAGACAGTACACGCAGAAGGACCAGTGCTAAGAACACCTCGGAGCCAGCTTCTTGTTGTTCCCCTGTCACGGAGAACATGCGCCACGGGCACAGACTTGGAAAGCTACACCACTTCGTGCCAACTGGGACAGGACCACTTCGTGCCGTTCCGTCTGAAAATCTCAGTGCAGTGCAGCGCAGGCAGCGACTCGACCGAACCGGTGACCGGGCGACGCACGCCGGTCCGAACGTTGCCCGCGGGCGCGGGAGCCAAGACGGTGTCAGCCACCAAGATCTGGGCCGGTGCAAACAGCCCAGACGGTCATCGATTTGCCTCCGAAAAAACGATGGAAAAAGAAGATCTTGAAGGCCAACAAGCAACAGACTCGGCCAAGAATGGTTGGATTTGGTCTGCTGGCAACCTTGAAACGGAATGTTCACAGAGAGCCTCGGGAGGCTGCTGATTGGGCACGTTCGCCGTCGGCTCTGGTGACTTCGGCGAGCTCAGAATGCTGTTCAGCAGTGACAGCTGAAGCAAGGAATGTTAACGCGAGGGACTATTTAATCGACCGAGAAACAACCCAAAGATTCTGGATGAATCATGCAATCTTCTAAAAAATGCCTGGAAACAAGGACGCAAAGCTTGGAAAGTAGCATCTCGCTGATCAACAAGAGCCTCTGTCTTGCGACAAGTCGGCTTGCATTGCAGCAAAGAGAGGAGCCAGTGACTACCTTGCTCTCTTTCCTGTCAGCTGCTTCTGATACCAAACTGTAGGCGGGCAAAAGAGACCTAGAAAACTTTGGAATCAAGTTCTTGGGCTCCAGCCTAACATGCACTGGTATGCAAAGTGTGAGACAGTACACGGTCACGCAATCATGATCGGCAGAGATGCTTCACCCCGTCTGTCTTCGTCCGCACGTAGTCTGGCATGGCAGCTTAGACAAGGCTGTCGGTCCAAAAAGGTGGGGTTTGTCTCACCTGTTGAGGTGCTTGTCTTCACGACAGGACAGGCACAGGACGGGACGCAGGAGGCCACACAGAGGCATCCTCAAGGTGCCGCCCCGCCCCGTCGACCCGTCTCATCGAGCAGGCTACAAAGCCCTAGACAGCCACCTTCCCACTGGAGGGGCTTAAGGAGAGCTCTGCGACGCCAAACCCCGCAGAAGGACCGTCGTTGTTGGCAATGCCCAGGTGGTTTAGAGTTTAGATCCTACTGCTGTGAGCAGTGTATGGTGTTGTTTTTTCATGCGAAGCCTATTTACAGTAGTTACATCGAATCTTTACTCGAAAGGGTTCTCCTCCAACTCCATCCATTTCTGACAAGTGGTGAGCCACAACCCTCCACAAGCTACTGCATCCTCCACACCCTTCAGCTCAGCTTCTCGTGCTTCTTGAGACAAGCACCGCCTCGACTCGAAAAAGGGGTTTACCACGGTGGAGTCACGCGTCACCCGCGCTGTTCACCTCACAAAAGCCGGAACAACAAGGTGGGAATCCCCTCGAGGATGAGTCTCAAAGGATTCTTCTTCAGCGATATCCTCGAACCCCCAAGGCTCCGTTGCTTGGAACCAAGGTAGCAGGTGCATGGTGTCTCAAAAAACACTTTCGAATAGATGTTCAATTCCAGCGGCCGGTTCCTGGCCAGTTCTGGTGCAGAAAAGGCCCGTTCTCCTCGCAGCCGAACGGACCCTTTCTTGCCCAACAAAACCTGAGAACGGCCGAAAGGGTGCGCCAAAGTCTACACCGCTTTCTGACAGCCAAGGAATCTCGTCGGTCGTTTCATCCGCGCGAAGCAAGCCCAACGAAACGCTCATGGCGCTGCTGTGACCGTTCTCACCAAAAGAACTGCACCGAAGTCGTGCGCTGCCGGGCTCCAGGATCCGTTGCTCCAAGCGGTTTTCCAACGTTCAAGAGGCCACGAGCTGGCCAAAGTAGGCTTTTCTGTATGGTTTCAAAGAGTCCAGTCATGACTCATTTTACCCCTTTTGCGGCAAAGCAGTGGATTATGACTGCCAGGTGGGGAAAAAATGAGAGATTGGAAGTTCAGGGCAGGAGCCCCACCAAAAAGCTCGGTTTTTTCTGGGCATTCTTCCTCTCTGGCCGTGGAGATGGCGCCCTGTTTCAGGGGCTCCGGACACTTCCCAAGACGGACCCGCTTGAGGGTGGTCATTCGCCTCAGCAGGGCCAGGCATTGCTCACAGCTGCTGGGCGGCCAGGTGGCACGAGGTGCAACTTGGTGCGAGTGAAAAGGAGGAGTGGCTGTGTGGGTGAAGAGTGCGGGAAAGCTCTGAAAACTTCACAGAGGAGTCATCTAGAACAAAGAAGTTGGTTCGATGTTGGATTTTACACATCTCAAAGTGTCCGCAAGGTTGAATGGAACAGGTTATCCTGCAGGCTGTTGAATGTGGTCGTACTGTGATTCTCTTGTCAACGGTGAGCTGATGCAAGATAGATGATCCTTCACTGCTTGGGATTGATCTATCTAACTTTACCACCCAACATCAGGGTCCTTCGCTCAGCAACATATCCCATGCCGGATGCGCATGAAGCCTTTGTCCTTGAAGAATTCCACAGAGATCCACTGAGTTTAGTTTAGTATGATTAGTTTAGTCCTCGTGGCTCAACTTCGGCTGTTCAATCTGATCCTCTTTGCTGTTCAACCTCTTCCTTCACACTCACTCGAACTGGCCCGCCACTGGTCGGCCACTGGCAAACGCAAATGCCTTTTGAGAAGTGCACTCGAGAGTGTCCAAAAAATCTCGCTTCCGAATCTCATCGTGGCGCAGCTCCAAACAAATGTTGTGGCCATGGCAAGGTGATGTAACAACACCCCAAAGTCACGTAAAGTTGCAAACACATGCGAATGGGTCAAAAGGAGTCACACCCTCTCCCGCTTTTCTTTTGTGAATGCTCACTACGGCGTAGTGTCCTTTGCGGAAGTGTGTGTATGGCTATGGCCCATGTGCCATGGAGTTTTCAGTACGGAATGATCCCTTCCATTTCGGACAACTGAATCTTGGTCTGACAGCAGCCAAGGTAGCTGACCCTGCTGGCATGAGAGTGAGATAGGTGACTCTAACTAACTAACTAACTAACTAACTAACTAACTAACTAATACTGTTTGTTGTTTAACATGCAAGATGAGCATGGTACCTTCTGGCTGGCAGCTACGCTAGCAGCCAAATGCCAGCAAAATGAATGCCCCAAGTGAAGAAGGGGAGTATGAAGCCAACGTTTCTTGCGTCCGGTCTGTATCAAATCTCCACCAGCCAACCTCTGGTTCTTCGTCTGCTTTCCTCCGGACCAGGGGTTTGGACTCTGTAGAAGTCTCTTCACGGAAGCAAGCCTAGACAGTGATGGTTTCCGGGACCTCTCTGTTCATCTTAGTTTCCAAAGACCATGATTGTTCAGATCTAAAAAATCCCAAAGGAGTGCCCCAATGGGTCCTTGCTATGAGGGCCGCCTCCCAAAAAAGGTTGCCTTTAACCAACCCTTGCAGCGCAATTCGCTGCCAGAGGTTCACAACTCGCCTCTGAGAAGTCCATCTGAATCCGCTGAGCGAAGGAAGAGCTTCCTTCTAGGCCGGCAAAGGCAGTGGTCTTCATTGTCTACAGGCTTTCTCCCACAAAAGAGTGGAACTGTGATGGGTTTCTTCGTGCTCACTTATATCTCCCAACAAAGTCTTCAACATCCCAATTCTCGCACCAACTGCCCTTTTGTTGCCCCGCCAGCAAACTCGTCGATTTTGAGCCCCGTCGTTCTCCAGCCTTTTTAGGCCATGTATGTCTTGTCTTGCCGAGCTGTTTGAGTGGGTGGAAGATCAGATCCCTTTGGGATGACAACCAACTCCTCAACAGCCCGGACGTCCCTCTGAAGAACACCGTGGACGCGTCAACGGCGTGTCTGCGCGATCAGCCGCCTGTCAACGAGCGAGCAACGAGTGTGCGGCAGTGTCTGTCCCATGCTGTGGCTGGGAGATTGCCATGCACATAGTGCGATGTATTAAACTATATTGATAAATAATATAACAATAATAATGATAGTAACAACAATACCCAATAGCGATGGCCTCCAACCTACTAGCGATGGCCTCCAACCTGTCTGCCCATAATACTCACTAGTGCTCACCAAGCCTACCCAGCACTTTTGCTCTTTGCTTCATATCTTCATGGTGTCTCTGTGAAAGATCAACGGAAACGGTATGCCAACCTGGTGGAACAATATAGTAATTTATAATAATCACCCAAGAGTCAAAAACACGTACACACCTGGTTCTCCACTCTTGTTCCAGAGTCATAGCCGTCACCCTGGCGCCCAAAACCGCCGACCCCAGCGTTGGTGGACGGTGCCCAGACCCAGCCGCCGCCCATGGTCGGCCCGGAAAGCGCCTGGTGAAGAGCGCCAGTTGGCATCAACATCCACGCAACGGTCCGGGAAATTCCAAATGGCATCCTGGACGGGCGTTGTTCGGTGGCGCGGTGCGGGAGTGGCGCCTGGAAAAGCCAGCCCCGACAAAACGGGTTTTGAATATGCCATTCATCCATAGTCATCCTGGAGAATATTCTGAAGTTCTGAAACACGTTCAAGAACTGTTCAAGAAGCAAAAAAGTTCTTCATCAGGGTCATGTTGTTAGTCACGAAATGTCACGAATCTATTGTTAGTCCTTCTCCCAACACTGACCCACTGGATCCGAGTGACATCTCTTTCTTTTTGACATCCCTTGTTGAGGTGAAGAAAAGTCTTCATCTGTGCTGCGTGGATGACCCTGTTCTATCAAAAACAAAAGACCTTCCAAGTGGCTGCGGCTACTGATCTCTCACAGGCTCTTTTTGGAGACCTCGCTTCAAAGAATTCACCCAAATCGAAGGGCTTCTCCAGTGCTGCTGTTTGCAGCCTTTCGATTCCCACGAGCTTCCACCGGGCTCGCCACACGTCGGCACCGCTGAAACGGACGGCGCGGTGTCACTCACGACGGGTCTGACGACACGACGAGGCTCTTCACAAATGAAGGCGCCCACGAGCTTCCCGAAGGAATGCAGCTGCACCAGGAAACACAGCAGCGCCGCACACCAAACGAAGGCTGAGCAGGTCGCAGCCGGTGGTCGCGGCGACCCGGTCGCGTCGTGGCTGGGTTTGGGAGCTGGGTTCGTTCTGCTCGGTGAGATTGAGAATGCATTGTCTTTTCATGACGTTGGGGGATATGTTCATGAAAAGAGATCTCAAAGGACTTCGAGGACTTTGGGGGTTGATCTGTTGTTTGTTCATGTGATCTTTTTCTCAAGGACTTCATTGACCTCAACAAGAGATACCGCCAACTCCTACATGATTCCCCTACAAGGAGTTTGTGTGCTTCAGAGGTACCGCCAACTCCTAGACCGAAAAGAAAGTGACCGGTCGTGCCTGAGGCAAAGCGGAACTCTTCCACTCCAACGAAACATATAAGTGGTGTTTTTGGAGTAATCTTCACAGATCACGAGAGGTCTCCATCCCTTTTGCGTAAAACGGCAACCGTGACATGATCTGAGAGGAGGTACCCTTTTGTCTGAGCCAAAGCCCTTTGGAAACCGCTTCTTCAAAAGTGTGTCACTTGTCTTGGACCCCATATGTTTGCTTTGTTGCGTCTCGCTTAAACATGCTTGCCGTCCAATAGGGAAGACGCCGAATTATTGACACCCGTTCAAAGCATCACCAGCAGTGAAATCCAAAAAAAGCAAAGGACCGCGAAGTCTTTAAATGGTGCCTTCAGTCCCCACAGTGCCGAAACAAAAATGATGCCGAACCTGGCAGAACCTGGCCCTTTGCCACTTCAGCCCCTGACTCGTTGTGAAACATGGGCCCTTGTGATTGGAAACCCTCCCAAGAAACAGCTACATGGCAAGTGTGTCTATCTGTATCATCCCCCGATATCCCCCATACGTGCATGCATGCTGTTGATCAACTGACTGGTACACAACACCTTCACTTCACTCCTTCCTCCCGTTCACTTCAACCGACTGAATGGAAGACAAAGTAATTCGTGGTTTAAAAGACCAAGTACTCGCGGAACACGTTTTAAAGAACATCCGCGAAAGAAGAAAGCTCCGAAGAAAGCAAAAAGAAACGCACGTCAGAGAACATCCGACGTCTAACATCCAATCTGCGCAACACCCGCCTAACATCCAATCCATCGAATCAATCGCTTGAGGTCCTCACTTGGCTGAAGTGGCTGGGGTGTGAAAAGGGAATCCTTCTTGCCAACCCTTCCAAAGTGGAAAAACTTGGGGTCTCAAAAATTACACCGGCATAGACCTCAGATCGCGGGTGTATAGCTTTGAGAAGTTCGAACCCCCTCTCCGCCGCTGGGAAGCTGCAGCTCTCTGGGGAATAACAAGCAGAACTCGGCCCAAAACTTGCACAAACGGACCCAGAATGTGCCCCAGGCGGTGGAACAGTTCCAGATCCAGTTCCAGTTCCGGAACAACGAACTCTTGGACCCGAGTCTCTAGCATCGAGGTTTCGCGATGCTGATCGAACGTCCACTGCTGCACTGCTTGGAGCTGCGCGGCTCTCAGCGGGCGGGCGATCCATGCCCAAGGTGCCGATGTCATCTGCTGGCTCGTCGGAGGCCGCGGACTCCTTCCGTGCCTCTGCGATCTTCTTGGCGCGGAGGCAGATTTGAAACAAGTCCTCGGAGGACAAGGACAGGGGGCGGGCGCTCTCCGTCTCGACAATCCCATCGTGATCATCCGAAAGACCAACTGTTAGTGGGACATTCTGGGACACACCCAAGTCAACTGGTCATGTGTCAGGACAGGAGTGTACTTGGACCAACGTTCTGGTCTGACGGACGGTGTGTTGGTGTGTTGGTCTGCGCTGCGAATTCAGCGACTGACAGGTCCATGGTTCAGTTGGATCATGGCACCTGGAGACCTGAAGAACCGAAGATGATGGTCTGTGAGTTCTCGATCAGTTGATCTTTAGTTGACATGGTCTGGTCAAGTCAACATAGTCAGTTCTCCACCAGTGAGTCAGTTCTACCCTCTTTTCGTGAGTCAGTTCTCTACTGGACATGGTCAACCTACCAGGCTTTTCGTTGACCATGACCCATGACCCACGGCCATGCGGAAAAGCTTGTGCTGGCCAGATCAACCAAAAGAACCGCCGTCAACTTCGGATCCTTTGATGTTCATGTTCATAGAGTCTCACAGCAGGGACCGTGAGTGTGACCCGTGAGTGTTTTTCTTCGTAGTTTAGAGAGTCGAAAACAAAAGTAGGTTTAGGTACCAATGGGTGGAAGGATCCAACATACAGATCGGTGGAGTGGGCATCCAGAAGGACAAAAGCAATCGGATCACCAAACGAGTATGCAGACGGCCCCGGTGGTTTACAGATGGCCCCCCCCATCGAATACGCAGACATTGTAGGGGTTCCAGGTTCCAGTGCCAACTCTGAAACGTAAGCACACACTGCACGTTTCATGTGGCCCACACAGCGTGATTCCCGCAGGCCAGTCGTCGTCCTCCCCGCTTCACCCCGTCGTCTCTCCGGCGCTTCGCGCCGGAACGACGGGAGGGTCCCAACCGTCCAAAGCGTGTGGAGACGGGAGAGGCGGAGGGCGGAGGTGGACTTCCGTTGACCAACCCGGGAGTTTTGGGGGTCCATGCGGACCTCTGCAGGAAAGGGAGTAAACCTCTGCTTTCTCCGAAACAATTCCGCAATACTCGTCTAATTGATCTCAAAAAACAAATCGATTTGACTGTAGCAAACATAACTTGCCAGTTGTAAACTGCACCTCCTGCAGTGCAGTCATATCCTTACTTTACCAGGAGCCAGAGCTTGACCATATATCGATATTTATTTCATTTAACTGTCAACTGTTCCATTTTGCTTGACTTACGTTGTTTCGGGCATCTTTCTCTCAAACCAATTCTAAGCTTTCAGTGGACAAAGAAAAGTCATGGACATACAATTATAAACACTGCCAACAATAAGCCTCACTTCCCACCCAATAATCTTTGCAGTCGTCCCTTTTCAACTCCTTACACTTGCCTTCTGATTCTTTCTAACGTTGAGTTCAGAGGTCCTTTATTGCTAGCTATAGTGTTTATTGTTGTGGATCGGGGGCGTAATATATACTACTTGCAATGTCAACATTCGATGTCACAAATCGCTATTCGGGCGACTAGTCTGGAGCGTGGGGTCCTTAAATTTTGGACAATCTCTGTGGCAGATCCAGCACATCGACCAAAAGAAACAAAAACCTGGCAAGAACTGGAACGTTAGACAGCATAATGTCATTCATCTATCGAATGGCTCTTGGCCTATCTCTCACATGTGGACGGGCCCATCATGCAAATGGAGAGGTCGATCTGGAACCATAAACCTATTGGTTGTTCACATTGGTGTCGTATCCCCTCCGCTATTCAACCAACCAATTTCACCAACAGTATTAAAGGCATTGAAAGGCCATCTATGCCCTAAACCCTATGGAACAAGAAGAACCCACCTGCAGCACCGCACCAATCCATGAATACAAATAGGAGACGTTGGCCGAAGTGATGTGAGCAATGAGAATGCAGAAAAGGCATTGCCAATTCAGATGCGCTTTCATCACCATCCGCCCCAAGGAGAAGATGGTGGTCTGCACTTCCAACTTGGTGCAGTTCTGCAAGAAGTTCAGGAGAACGATTCCTCAACACGTTTGTCAAAAAAAACGAACCAAAAACGGCCAATCAAGGTGCGGTCATTCTCGAGTCCATTCTCTTTTGGCCGTCTAATTGGAGGATTACATAGGAATTACACTTTGCTTTTTCCATGGTGAAGATGCGGTTCTTTCTCATAAGTCCTTATCCGCGATCCCAAAGCTTACTATAAAGGTATCCAGTACCCAGTTGTCTCCAGAATCACCATCCACTTTCCCCTGCATCTGGGAGGACCCAGCACCAATGACCACATGACTTGACGCTCTCAGCGGTGCCCCGAAACCAGTGTTGGGCAAGGTACAAGAGCGGATTCACTCGGATCCTCTCCCGCACTAACCTGGAAGTCTCTTCGACTCGCTCGACCATCTATATAAAAACATGGTGGACCTGGTGTTGCAGAGTAAAATCCTTTGTAAAACAATGGTGGTCAGTGGTCCGGTAAAAACCTGTGAATTAATGGGCGGTTGGAAGAGCCCTGAAGAACCTATCGCGTGCTGTCGACGAAATGGCACTGGCGCTCCATCACCTGCCTTGCTGAAGTTGCGTGCCATACCCTAACCCCCCATTGGAGGCCAATAGCTACACCAAGCTGTTCGAAGCACATCAAAACTCCTGCTACGCAAGCAAATCCAGCACTTATATAATCTTGAAAGGAGCGGACTTGTCAAGACAAGGTCCCAGGTCCGGTGCTTTTTTTTTTGCACCTCCCAGCCTTGTAGTTTGGATAGTCATATTATATCTTTGGCCGCACCTCCCAGCCTTGTAGTTAGGTCATATTATCTCTTTGGCCAAAGAGTCTTGGAATCATTTGCCTCAACTCCATCTTGAGAATCTGCGTGGATCGATTCAAGTCCTCGAAGCCCGCTCGCTCCGGCTCGCTCCGGGTCGCTCCGCTTGCCGGGACCGCTCCGCGGTGGATCCCAAGGGCCGAAGCAGACCGAAACGAGCACGGCTTCGGTGGCCCCGGTTTGGAATAAAACGGCTGTACCGTTTGGAAGCCAAGCCAATGGTTTTTTGGGATAAGGAAGGTCTTAATTACACACTACACCGAAGGAGGTGATACAACTATTCTTAGTCGAACGGAAGGCTAGAAGGCTAGGGGTTGAGGAAAATAGAATGCGCGTGTCACCCGCACACCCTTCCACAACCATTGAAGGCCTTAAGTCAGAATGGAGACCCCGAAACCATGATTGACTCTGGACCCGCCCAAAACCAAGAAACTGCCAAGGTGTTTGTCTACTTGTCCGAGACGGAAAAAATTTGCCACTGCTGTCTCCAAACTTTGAAGAACCACCGCTGCAGCGCTGTTTTCCCGTTGCTGATTCAAATGGCCGCTCGTTAGCGCCGCATGCAGTGGCTATCACCTCGTTGGCGCCTATCCTATGGTGTCATGGTGTGCTTGGGGGTTGAGTCGACCCCTCCTTTGGAACAGTGTGTAATGCCGCCACCCAGACCTCCTCTGCCCTCCAATACCACCATCTCCACATGTCGCAAGTGGGTATGGTCTCTGGTTGTTGCTTCCAAAAATAAAAATATAAACACGTGTCGTTCCTTACCAAAAACCTCGGTACTCCCGGTACGGCTTCGAACCAAAAAGAAAAACAAAACCACGACCACGTGGCCACGTGGCGAACGGATGGTTCCAGAACGGTCCGCAGCCTTCACTCAACAAGCACCTCCCCAGCTCCCAGGGTTCCAAGGCACGTGCTTGGTGTGCTTCGCCCGCTCTAACTGCAGCTGGTGCTGGCCTTCTTGCACCAACACCATGCGGTTCAGAAGCGCCAAAGTCTTCAAGGCATCCTCGTCGAACGGGCGGCAGACACGCACAGACCGAGATGATGGGCGTACGTCGATGAACATGACAAAAAGACACCTAAAAATAGGCGATGGACCGTTTTCGAACTCCCAGTTCGTCGAAATTCTTCGCATGCCATACTGCAACAGGTGTATTCTTGCTCGAATGAACTTGAAGTCACGGTATTGGAGTCTTGGGGTATCCTACCCATCGCGAATCCGTTCCAAATCATTCGCGAATCCGTTTGTACCGTCAGCAGAGCAGTGAAGCCTCCTTCGGAACCGGTGTTCACACCCACCGAACATCCTTTTTCACATTCCGGACCCCAATGGCACCAGTGGTCCCTCCGATGGCTCCAACACGCGGAATGCTGATCGATGGTGAAAGCATGAAGTGTCCTACCGTTCCAATGGCACCCCTGTGTCGCTCGCGTCGGCCACTCCGAACTGGCGCGTCGCGGATCCAAGTTTATGTTCGGTGACGAAGCGGACACGTTCGGCGTACACGTTCGGCGGACACGTTCGGTCACCAGGTCAGAAAGCTCAGGTCACCAGGTCAGAACTCTGGCTGTTCATCATCCACTTTACTACACAAACTGACATGCCGGGCATGAATCTCTGTCATTCCTCGCTGCCAGCTTGTTGACACGATGTGTTTCGTGCACGGCCTTCCCCAGGAATCAAACGCAGGAAGCCAAGCATCAGCGTGCCATATGTGTGAGGTTGTCCATTGGCATTCTGCCACATTTTGAGGCCAACAACTGAAGACGTTGTAGCCTTGGATCTGTCAATGACGTTGAATTCGTATCCGATCCTCACCCGTTTTTCGTGTGTCTCAAAGCATTGTGCATGCCACCAGAACACGCGCAAAAGAAAGATCCACCTTGGTTGGGAAACCCCTTATGTTGAGACGCGCCCACTTGTACCTGGTTCTTCCAAGTGACCTTTTGGTCCCTTGGTTTGGGGTCACTTAGGCCTGTAAATGTCACTTATATAGGGACTCCAAAAAGATCACTTGGTAGATGACGGTCAAGTAGCCATGCTGTACTGTTTGGGCGCTAGGGAGGGCAGGCTCATCGAAACAACCCGCCAACGTTTCCTCAAGCAACCACCAGATGGAGTAAAAAGAGAGTTTTAAATATAGAGTCTGAGAAATAAGGAGGTATTACAAGAAGGATGTCCTAAATCTAAGAGTTTGAGGTCAGAACTTGTTGTGCTTTGTGCAGTGTGTGGTGGGCTGGTCTGACACAGGACAGGGCGTGACAGTGACAGCAGTGTGGTGGTGGTAGCGGTTGTTCCTGTTGTAGAAGCAGCCTTCGAACTAATTATATATTTCAGCAGCAGTAGTAGCTGTAGCAGCAGTAACTGCAGCACCAGCAGCAGCAGTAGCAGTAGCAGTAGCAGTAGTAGTAGTAGTAGTAGCAGCAGCAGCAGTAACTGCAGCAGCAGCAGTAGCAGCAGGAGTAGTAGTAGTAGTAGTAGTCGTCGTCACCGTCTTGCGTCCATCATTGCAATCCTGAACAAAAGCACTGACTTTCGGCAGGACAATTATGAAAAGGACTCCTTGCCGGAGCATGGTGAAAGCACGTACAAGTGCAATCGTGAGATGTGCAAGTGATGTAATTACACACCAAACCCCACATTAATGGTGCATCCCCACACTAAACCAAAGGGAGTTGAGTAGACTCATGCGTTGGGTTCCAAAACAACGCACGCGCTATTGACACAGAACCCCTCAAAAGTTGGACTCCTCAAAGGTGTCCTTTCTGGTGCACTGAGCTCAATCCAAGTAGCCCTCCTTCTCGCTCCGGCAATCGAAGTCCACATACTTGCAGCAGAAGAGTCGAGCTGGCAACGCGCTGGCGATGAAGAGAGGAAGCTGAATAATCCTCAGAGCTGCGACTCAAAAAAAACTCAAAGGGCAAGATCCTTCAAGGTGGTCTAAAAGACACAGTTTTCGGAATGGAAGTAAGATGAAGTAAGTGACTATGCCGTTAAGAAGGGCAAGACAAGGGTGAATCAGTGAGTAAGCGATTTTCCGCACGTATCAGAGCACGCATAAACATCAGAGCACGCACGAGCCTATCACCGGAGAGCCTATCACCAAAATCTGCACTCGCAGGGAACGACATCTGCACTGCACTGCACTGCGGCCCTCGTGCGGCCCTGCCGTTTTGGCCGTGAAGCGCAACAAGTAGGCACTTGCAAGGACAGATGTGCGATGCCCAAAACGAAACTGTTGGAGAATAAGTAGTTTGAAGATCTCAAGAGCTAGGAACTCTTGTGCTGTAAGGGTCTTGAATTTTTTGCCAACGGATGTGAACACCCTCGATTAAACCCATGCACAGCTTAACTCGCCTCTCTTTGAAGGACCAAGGAAAACAAAAAATGAAAACAATAGCTGTATACATACTACCCCGCGCGACATCCAGCTATCAAGGCTCTCAAAGGTATGCAGCTCTGTCCAACTTGGCAAATGCCCCTACCGAACCGCAAAAAAGAAGACGGAACATCCGTTCCGTTCAGATCCTCACCCTCAAACCAGCTCCTCGACCCAAGCATCGTGGTGATCCAAGCGAAGATCAAAATAAATCTCAGGTTCTCCCCTGGAGTGATCCTTGGTACGAGTGCCACTCGCAAGGATCCATGGAAGAGAGCAGATTCAAAGCGATCAAGATGGGTGGCGACCTGTGGGAGCATCAAGGAATCAAGGGAGCATCAATCAAGCTGAATTCTGAATCAAGCTGATAGAGAAGCAAATACCAAACATTCAAAACAGACAGACAGACAGACAGACAGACAGGCAGGCAGGCAGGCAGCCTGACCGACCGACGACCGACTTACCCACCCACCCACCGACCGACCGACAGAAAGAAGAAAAGTAATAAAGAATAAGAAACAAATAGATAAAGATAAATTATAGATTATTATAGATTATAGATAGATAGATCGATCGATCGATCGATGGATGGATGGATGGATGGATGGCTGGATGGATAGATAGAGAATAAATAAGAATTAGCAAGAAACAGATAGAGAAAGAGAAGTCTGGCATTGGAGGATGTGGCATTCTCTCCTGTTCTCCTCGTTTCGTTGGTTTTGGGTTGGCCCAAGCATCCAGGCAAAAATGGAGTTCTCCCACACATCCTCCCAGATCTGGGCGATCTGATCCCAACCTGGACATCGTGCTGTCGGATGGCAGGTCGGTGCGTGGCTGTCGCTGTCATGGCAGGTCGCTTGGTGCGTGGATTGGTACCTGGGATACCATATGTGGACATCTGAAAGACAGTCAGTAGTATTGTGTTGTTTGTTTCTCGTTTTTCGGACATATACGTGTCCGTGCTTCATACAAGAAGTACTGAAAGTGTGTTTGTTCGTTATTCCTATGTCATGTGTGGCGTTGAGATCTGTTTGTGTTAGCCAGCGATCCAAACATATCCTATCTTCAAGCATCCTGAAAAAGAAGACTTGCTGCTTCATGGCGAAAAAACACTCCACCGGCACCCACAAAAAGAAACACGACCTGAAAAAGAAAACCATAAAAGGACATCCCCAGCCGGTCCCTCTTCTTTTCCAGCTCCACTCTTCGACCGGTTTTTTTCGGAGTCGGCGTTTTCCCTTCCGCGGCTGCCGCGCCTTCGCAGCCGAACCACCGGCAGACCGAGGCTAAAAGGAAGCCCTGGGTCACCAGGTCCGTGTGCGAGCAGAGGCTCAAGGACAAATGCCAATAAAACCAAAACCCGAAACTGGGCTTCGATCGCAATGGCGTCGTCATATTTCCTGCCGCGCGGCCGTGACGAGGGCGAAGACACGCACCCGATGTCTTCCCGCCGATGTCTTCGCCCATTTTGGGGGGAGGGCGAAGACATCCCGGTCCAAGCTGGGTGGGATGGAAGGGGCGATTGGATGCCATGAAGAGAAGAATCCTCCGAAGTTTTCAGACCTGGAAAGCCTGATGTGAAGACCTGGACCGTCTTGAGCGTCTGAGCGTCTGGGCAGGGGCGGGTGGCCCCAGAACTGTTGCACTTCATGACCGACTGTGGATGGAAACATGGAGATCTTTGAACTGTCAGATCTGCTGAGTGGATCTGACGCAGATTGCTCTATAAAGGCTAGTTCAAAAATTAAGTGATCCGCAAGATAATCAATATTGCTCTTGAGTGTACTAAAACACCAACTATATAATATGCACACTTCTTGAGAGGCTGACTGCACTTGATCAAAGATAAAGAACCTTTAAATCCAGGTCTTGAGGACGCTGCCGACTACTCAAAAGCTGTAGGTCTTTCCATCTACTGTATCGACTCTATTGTGGGGATCAATCTACAGTGAGCATGCCTAGTCTCCACAACAATTTAAACGTTCAATGTAGGGGAATGCTTTCTTAATACAATGGGAAACCATATGGAAACCCAAATCATCAGGGTCTCAATCCATCAAAGCAAACTGATCTTATTTGATCCTATATGATCCTATGTGCGATTCACTTTAAACGGTCCTTGCTTGGATCAAGACTCACAGGGACAAGAGATAGTACACTTGCTCGAAAAGTTTCATGACATTCCAATTATGACCGTCTCTATGACATGGCTACCTTAGGCTACTTCCAACAGCCAGAATTCCATGCTTTCCATGATCCATCGTAACGAGTGATCATAGCACTTCTCCATGCAGAGTGATCCATCCTTCTTCCACGCTGCACGTCCCGAACGTCGGACCCTCCACCGGTCGCGCGCGTCCACCGGCTCTGTGCGCTCCTAGCCATTGAACCACCGGCACAATGGTGTAGGTGAAGCACCAGAGTTCGATCCCCACCACGAGAACTAGGATGGGCAAAGGAAAGAGCCACACCCACGTGGCATAGTGTGGCATGCCCAGCCCGTTGCATTCAGTGAAGTAGAAAGCAATCCACGGCAGAAACATGAAGAATGGCCACTGGATCAGTGTGGCCATCCAGAGTAGCAGTACCGGCGGACCAGAAATGTCAAACATCGTGAGCTTGTACCTCAAAGCACCGGATCGAAAAAGGCTCAACCATCCAAAACACTAAAAGCAGACCGGCCCAGACTTCAGTGAAACAAGTCCAACAAGCCCAGCTAAGTACGAAACCATGCGAAACCATACGATTCCCTCAAACCCTGAACCGATCCCTAACCTTGTCCCTTGAAGTTTCAGAGATACACCATGTGCCAACTATGTTTGGGAGGCTGCTTGTGTTTCCAACAACAACAAGAAGTCGGGGTGACTCCACCATACACGCATTTCCAATCACAACAGTCCTCCTACAATCATGTCTGGAAAAACCAGAGCCCTCTTGATCAAGAGCCCTGGTCCCCAATTAGATTCGATCGCTTCATCCAATTCCCATCCATTTTGCCGAGTCCTGAACGATGCCTCTGAAGGGTCTCCCCCCCCGCGCCGGGTGGCCTCTTGTCTTCCGGCATCGTTTCATTTGGCACCAGTCTCTTCTCTTTCATGAGCTCCTCACAGACGAGGTCGCAAGGTCGACATGCAGCCCGGGCCCAGACAGGTCGTCTATGTTAAGGAATAGAGGTCTAGAACGGTCCATATAGCTCTTTTTGGCGTGGAAACACCAAGTACTGTTGCAAACAAGAACCGTCAAGAAATGTCAAATTATACCTGAATCACATTACAAGCACCATCCACATCAATCTATATAATTGCGTGGTGTTTAACAGCTCACCACTCGTCATCCGAAAATGCAAGGGTTGAAATGAGGGACGTGTCCCACGACTGCTGATCGGTTTCTGTGCCTGACATCGAGGATTCATGTGCTTTTTTGTCTGAGCCGCATTGCGCTTCACCCACCACACCCCGGCCCTCACCCCTGCCAGGTCCCCATCCTTGACTTCGCTGGGGACCCCCCAGTAGCTGGTCAAAAACCAACGAGGGAGCCATATGGGGACGTCCACCGAGATGTCAATCTCCTGGGCGACGGTGGATGGGTGCGAGAAGAGAGGTGATGCCAAGGTCTCTGCTGCACAGTCGGCTCTTGGATGCCAAAAAGGAACCTCGGTCCTCATCAAGGAAGGGTATCTTGGGTCCACGGGGTATAGATGGTGAACAAAATCACGGGAATCACTGGAGCTTGGTATCGATCACGGAATCACGGGGTATGGATTGGTCCACGGGGTATTAGATTCCTCTTGACAATCACGAGGAATCGGATGCTTTCGAGAAAAATCACTGGTCAGTGCCATGAGTCAATGCCCACTCCGGTCTGCAGTGTTCGTGCCGGCCGATGGTCGGCACGAAGACGGCGGATGGGCTGAGGCGCTGAGCCCATGCTTTCACCCTCCAAAACCCAGAACGTACTCCATCTGGTAGTCACAACCCACCACGGTAAAATGAGTCATGACTGGACTCTCAGGGAAAGTGAACCATGCCCCGCGAGTTCAGTGAACTCGTCCTGCTCACCCCCAGGCGTGGCAGCAACTTCACTCTGGTCATTCATGTAGACCGTCGATGTAAAACAAGACAACCCCCCCAAACATGGAGCGTCCAACATATTCTTGGAACTCTTCTATTACCTCCTTGGAAGAGGTATCTATTCGCTTTTGGTGTCTACAGGAGGATCCAAGGAGGTTCTTGGAACTCTTCTTATTCTTGGAATTACAGGCTTTTGGTGGAACCTCCTTGGATCCCCCTGTAGAACCGCCTGACCGTGGCGTTTTCATCCTCCTCTTCTTCCGTGGACGGCCCGGATCTCTTCAGTTCATCTCTACCCAGCGGCCACAGCGGCTTCATGGATTTACGCTGCCAGAAATAATTATGGAAGTGGAAACCAGCTGCTTCCGTTCGGGGTTACCTGGCTGGACAACCCTACACTGCTGAAAAAGGTCCCCAAACCGGACCAGACAGGAAACGCTAGGAAAAGCACCTGTTTGGTCTTCGGATTTCATGGTGATCCAAGGCTCCAAGGATTCATCGACGGTTGGTGTCGACCACTTCGACCATCTCTTGGAATTACAGTGGATTGAGAGTAGATGGCACTGGCACCCCAAGATGTCTTTTATAAATATAGTCGTCCTTATAGAGTCCTTATAAACCACCTACCTTTGGGACCCTTGTGCCATCTACTCTCAGGCGCACGACACGGCCGAGACTGCACCTCGGCCTGTGTCGTGGACCCATGTTCAAAAACCTCCAGGGATGGTGGACCTGGAGTCCCTGGAGTCTCTGGTCGTTTTGAACCATCAAACCTCCATGGAACATGTTCAACCTTGCATGTTCCATGGTGTTCGTTTCTAGCTGGCAGGTGGCGTCTATGTCAAATTCCAAGTCCCGTCATCGACGGACACCACGGGTTTACCCCTTGGTCGTCGTGATTCGTCGCCCCATCATCCACTTCAATCCTTCTCCTTCTCCACCAAAAGGAGGTCAAATAGAAACGGATCTCTTACCCTAAGGATCCTTGGACCTTCCTTAGAAGGGAGTTGAACCCTCTATAACAAGGGTTTGGGGCCCCTCAAAACCGTGCGGATCCTGGTCTCTATAGTGCCCAAGCCTTAAGTCGGACCAGTCATGTACCCAGTCGGCTCCTCGCCCTCCTCGTCGTCCTCTTCTTCGCAGAGACCGCACGGCTCGTAGTCGTTCCTCGGTCGATCGGCTTTGCGGGGTGCTCGTGATGGGAGGTAACGAAGCATGAATCACGGCCATTTTGGACGAAAAATACACCCGGGAACCTTAACAAGGAAGGTGAAAAAAGGAACTCATGGAAGACTAGTTTCCTTTACAACCCAGTGGTTTTCAGGTTCCATGTTCATTTTCCAGGGTGTATCGTTTCATCTCTGAAAGTGATGGTGTCAGTGTCAGTTCTAAGGTGAACTTGAGGAACCACTGAGCAGTTGAAGCTCAGGTAGACCTCCGGGAAGTTCAAGGTACATGACCCCCACAAAGATCAAAGAGATCTTAGATAGGGCCAGGTAACATGTACACTTGATGTTTACTTCAACCCCCCAGAACATGAATTGTAAAACCTCTTCAGGCCTTGGGGTTTGAGCTGTCATCAAGCGATCATCACCGCAGAAGCTGTCGCCTGTGGATTTCAGTTCAACTTTGGTGGTTCCAAAACGCGCCTTGGAAGCTTGGATTGCAAAGGATGGAAAGCTTTGAATGCTTAATGTAGACCTTTGATGAACAAACCCCTTGATATAGGGTGATATAGGGGGGTACTAGTCAACAGCCCACATTATGATGTCACACATCTTGAAATGTCAATGTCGTCCAGAATGTCTCAAGGTGCATTCCTGCTGTTCCTTCCCCAAACCCCCATCCATGTTGCGGTGATCCATCCACACATGACTGGTTCCGGTCGAAACCCTGTACCAACAATGGACCCAACATTGATCTTGCCACAAGCTCGGATTAAGGGGCTGTGTGCTTGCAAAATGGCAAAGACTTATTTTCCTGCAGTTCCTGTCCAATGTGCAGCTCCTGTCCGGACATGCATCCCAAAACATAAACATATATTTATATTACTGATGGAGCCCCCAATGGCCAATCCAAATTCACCAGTGTGGGTCTTCCTTTGCACCACACTCATCCTGAAGGAGCCTTGAAAACGTGGACGTGCATCACATGCTCGTCGGTTTCCATCGCAGGTTTCGACAGGTTGTTGTACAGGTCGTGCCACGAAAAAAAACCGTTGGTTCAAGAACTTCTGGACCCATCTAGATAATCCATCTGGGTTGGTTGTGACTTGATGTGCTTTGTGTACTTCACAAAAATTTTGGCTGCCCACCCAAATTAGGTACTGACTGCGGGCTACAACTACTAATTACTCTGTATGCCCCATGAAAAAAAAGGTGCACAACTGCTCTGACGACCCACACTCCCACTATTCAGAACTGCTGGCCTTGCTTTGCTGTTCGCAAAGCCCATTCAGCATGCGCGCGTGCGGTGCTGCTGCACGCTGCGCCCCGGCACGCACCGCACACTTGCTGCCCCGGTACGGAGAGGCTAAGGCTGAGCCAGGGCTGAGCCGAGCGGCGGTTGGGGGGGGGGTCCGTTCAAAACAACAAACCTGTTCTGAAGTTTCCAATAAAAGGACATGTGGACACCAAGCACCATCAAACTCGAGCTTCAACATAAATCTTCTCAATGGTCTCTAGCTACCCTTCACGAAATGTGGCCTTAGCTCCCTGAGTTCACTTTGTAGCCACCACAGTCCACGTCTTGACCAGCCCCACACACACAATGATATCCCATACACTGTAGCTGTAGCACTTACAAGTTACAAGTGCTTTTTGGGGAACAGGTGTGCAAACAGAATTGTCAGACGCATGATTCTGCATCAGACTTCTCGAATAACTACGTCAGTGTGTTCCCCGTTTCTGAGAGCTCTTGGAGTTTCAAGGGCCCAAATCCACCAGCTCGCCCTTTTCTTTCAACCATGCGAGCTCTCAAGACATCCACTTCAGATGCCTTGTGCGCAGGGCGCGCCAGAGCTGGGCTTTGGCTCGGCGCCGCCCGCGAGTCCCAAGAAAATCACTCCCAGTCCACGCGAGAGAGTTCGCATGCAAATGACATGAGAGTTGGCTGCGGACCATATTACTTGTGTGATCTGTGGAGATTACTGATCGTCCAGTGTTCCTTTTTGGAGAGTCACTCAGACCAGGGTGGGTGTCGGGCTTTGACCCACTGAATGTAGCAAACTGCTGAACTCATCAAACCTTTAATATTGAAGGTAAACAATGCTGTATGGTGACATATGGGTGTGCGCGTGTGTGTGTGTGTGTTCTTTTCCTAGCATACTGAGCTTTCAGAGCGCTGAAAGTTGCATAACCATTGAAAATTACTAATCTGTGGAAAGAAGTCACCTGCTCACCAACTTATGTCGTGTCCCAGCTCAGCCCTGCTGAGCCCCCGTTCAAGGAGTCCTTGACCTCATCTGGGACCCCACTGAGAAACCATGCAGGCAGCCAGTCAGGCACATCCCGAGCAATCATCTCCAGGTCAGACTCCTTAGTGCTGCAAGTGTCCACCAATGAACGCGTCTTCATTCTCAAAGCTAGAGCATTCTTCTGAAACCCCACGATGATTGAAAACTTAGTATGGATGCCGTGGGAACCCTGATCAATTGCCCTTCGATGCTTTGGAGTCGCGAATCAGCCATGGCTAGGGCTTGAACAAATCGAAGGAATCCCAACTCCCTCCATCAGGGCATCGTCCAGGTCACCTCTACTTTAAGCTCACGGAGTCTTTGCCCAAGAAACCTCGTCATCCTCCGCACAGGGCTCATAATCGTGCCTCCAGCAAGACTGCGAAGGGGCATTCGTTGGAATGATATGAAGAAGGCGAATTGAGGGACCCCTGGTCAGAGATAGATTATTGCAGCTCCACCAAAAGCCTTAGTTAGGACAAATATTGAAACCGGAGCCTGGACTGCTGATTTCCGAAGATTTCATGAAACAGGAAGTATCACAATATTTATAGCCTACTCCGACATTTTGCCTACTCCACGATTGTCCAGAAGTCTCCTTGAACTTCCAAGTATCCTTGCTCAAAAGATCCAAACCAAAAGACTTGAGCTTCTGTTGCACTGTTTGCATGTGATGGTTCAGGTTCGATGAAAATCCTCCTGCAGAGAAGGGTGATGGTGCTAACAGCGTGATTGCGTTGGGGTGGGAACGGAATTGCATATCCGGCATCGCGAGAGAGTTGATCTGCATGTTAGCGCAAAGTCCGTGCGCAAAACAACCATCAGGAGCCTTTGCAAAGCCCAACTTGGTTGAAACATATCAATCTTCGAACAACCTACAGTAACCTGAACAACCACCTGGCCTATCCCACCCTATGACTTCCTTGAAAACAATCATGTCCATTTGTGGCCAGCTCGTCCAAATTCGACTCTAAAGTCACAGCGTCTGGCCTTGCCTCTGTTTGCTGCTCCTTGAGCCCATTCTAAGCCATTCCACGCTCAACCCAGAACAACTCTTGAGCCATGAAAGCGAAACATGTATAACATGTAGATACATACAGAGAACTATTCATAATGTACAATAACTACTGGCGGTATCCAAGACTCAACTTCTGAAAATATATCTATATGCCCAACCCAGGAGGATAGAGCAAAGGCACAACAACATTGACTTGCATTGACATAGTCGCGCACGTGAGTGTGGTGCGGCCCCAAACCATGGCAAAAGCAAACCAAAATACAATCGTGGAAGCAAAGACTATGTGGGGTTGTCTAGATTTGCTGTGTCCCCGAAGGGCATGATTTCCGTTGAGCAACCAGGTTTGTCTTGTGCATCTCCATCTCCAACCCCCAATATACAGACCAGAGAAATCACTTCTTGGAGAATATTGGAGAACATGAGCACTTGCGTTGTTAGACTCCACCATGAACTGCTCGAAGCTAGCATTTTTCGCCTAGAGGTCCTGCCGATCACAAGCTCAGTGCAAATGGTCGCAGAGTAGGGAACTTGTTGGTGAATGCCACACCCATGACGCAGGTCACTTCTGCTGGGCCTTGATTTCATAGTCTGCACTTTCCGCGTCCTTTCTGGCAAACCCAGCTCGTGTGCACTCCTCGACGGTAAAGCCTGCTGATACACACATCTTGACAGTGCTATGAGTCTTGAAATCCTTCGCAGTGTATCCTGCAGCCTTCCAATCATCAGCGCTAAAGCCACCGTCCATGGTTTCGCGCAGTGTGTAGCAACCTGATTGTAGGCATTCACTGAGAAGGAAGCCGGCATTCCTGCAACCTTTGGCATCGAAGCTAGCAATGCCCTTGCACTGTTCGACGCTGAAGCCAGCAAGCTTGCATCTGCCAATAAAGTGTCCCCGGCGGAAAAGCTCCGTTGCGGGCACACCTTTTTGCAAATAGCTGGCAACAAGTCGACATCTGATCGTGTCACAACCGTCACTTTTGACAACCTTGTCACGATCGTCACTTTTGACAACACTTGCAAGCCATTGGTCCCGTTGCACGTGTATGGGCTTGTATAGTTCAACGGCCGTGACACCCAACCGATCAAGCACCTCGCTTGATGGCTGTTTCAGCCAACCTTGGAGCTTGTCGCGCACTTCCTCCGCACTCCACAAATCCGATGTGTTCTTCAACTTCTCAACCCACTCGCTTTGCTTTGCGTCAGTTTCGACCAAATCTTCCAAGGCCCTCTGGACTGCGGCTGCTTTCCACAGAAGAATGATGCGCTGACCATAAGGGATTAGTAGTCCTTTGGAAACACTGATGATTGCAGAAAAGCCTGCAAACCCCAAGCCGTTTATGCCCGAGTATCTGAATACCAGCGCTACACCAATGATCCCTTGAGGCCAATCCTCAGCCCAAGCGATCAATAAGCGAGCCCCACTCACGAAGTCCGCAAACGAATTTCCTGCATGTCTCTCTATACACTCCCACGTGGTTTCCTCACCTGTCGTGGTGGGTTTCAGTGGCAACTCGAGAATCCCCCCGTACTTTTTGCGAAGATCTTGTGCACAGTCTTTGCTGCGGTTTACAAGGATGTGCGAGTAGATAATGACATAAGTAGACAAAACGGCCAAAAATCCACCATCTGCCAATGCTTCCAGAATTACAGAGGCCGTTTTGGCAACATGGTCCCAAGCGTGGGACATTGAACAAATTTGAAGCACCAAGCCACTCACAATAATTGCAATGATGCACGAAAACATCCCAGCAGTATCATTGCGGCCTCCGAGAGCACCTAGAAATACATAGGGCAAGCAAATGACCAGATGCAGTTGCACGCCCAAAACCATGGCATACACGACCTGCACTTGGCAAATCACAAAGAAGCCAGTAACGGGCAAGGAAACCCTACCCCTTCTTGCCTTGCAAAGGATCCACCAGAGGGGCAAAAAATTGCACTGTCATCTTTTTTCTCAGCAAAATACACTTAAGAGACCAAAAAGTTACATAATTGATTCAGGCAATTGCTGCGATTGCCAATACCGCACTGTAATCACAAATGGAACGCAATAGAAAGCAGCGGCAGCGGGTTTGGTACCTGACCTCTGTTTTGCATAAGTAATTGCCGCATCACCTGAGAAAAACAATAGGCAAAAAAGAAAATGCAGGCAATGAAACGGGACTCTGCACAAAGTCATGAGTCATGAGCCTGTCGCACCTCTCATTGCTTCTCTTCGCCGGAGGTACCAACTACCAACAATGGTGTTCAGCTGGCTGATAGCGAACTGACGGCCACCCCAACGGGAAGGGGTACGGCAAAGAAAGACTGACGGCTGACGACGATATGTCGAAAGCATTCTCTTCTGGAAGATGGCAGCGGGCAATGCGGCAGCCAATCTCCGCAGGACCGCTAGGATTTCTGAGAGGAAAGTCGGCAGATTTCCGGTTGAGGTTTGGCCAAGCTCCAAATCCATTGCCAGTTAGACAGGAAAAAAACTACAGTATGTATAATGAGCGCAAAGACAAAGTAGCAGGTTGAACGACGCAAGCATGAAGTGCCCAAAACGACACCACCACATCCGTATCTAAAGCCCACAAAGAAACAAAATCTACCAATCAGTACAAGTACGTAGTCACTCAGTAGTCAATGTCAAAGCGACAAAAAGCAATGAGACCCTCTGCGTGCCTGCAAAATCATCAAAGGCGGGTACGAGTCGTCTAAAATGCGCAAATTTTTTGGCACCAACTCCATGTGGATCACAAATGCCTCAACTCCTGTGAGAGTTGCTCCAAAAGCAAAGCCTGTCCATGAGTCGGCATGGAGAAGACAAATCCCTGTGACTATCCAATCTTTCATGGTATCACACAGCTCGCTCAAGAAGGGTGGAGTGTATAAAAGCACCGTTGTGGCCGTCGATACTTGCAAGGCATCGGCATCCTTGGATATGCTGCAAGGCGTCAAATGGAACGCCCTTCAGGACTGACACTTCGCAGGCGAAACCAAATCAAAAGGAAGAGAAAACTGGTCACTGGACGTCTTAGCGAATTAAGACAAGAAAGCTAGCGACCGCGGGCACACTCAAAAGAGAACATCCAAGCATCCAGCATAATGCATCTAACCAGATTCTGTGCAAACAAAGCCCAGAGGCAGACCTGCTGCCAAAGCGCCCAAAGCTCCCATGCAAAGTCACCACCACCCTTCGTCGAGATCCAGCCATTCATCATAGCGAGGAGTACTGTAGCAGCGCAAAATATGTGGTAAAAGGTGATACCCAAAGCAAAGTATACAGTGTCTCCTTTGAATGGATGATCTTCATAAACCTTTTGGCCCATCTCCGAGTCACTCTGAGCTTCCGAGTCGTAGTCTTCCTCAACTTTCAGCGACTGATAACTTGGAGCGACCCTGCTCATGCTGGAGTCGTCCGTTTCGAAAGACTTCTTGGCACACTGGAAACAATGCCGCACGGTTTCACATACTCCTGCCATCAGCACTGGCGACAACCTCGGTCGCTGGCAAATGACAGTTTTCAGTATGTAGGTGGTAAAGGGACCCTAAAGTGGAGATACTGTAAGAATTTGGCCAACAATCATCACCCTGTTGCCATTATATAGATTTTACTGTATGTTTGACACCTACTAAGGTGCATTTATGGGATTGTGAAAACTGTCCTGAATGATGGTGTGGTTAATGTATATGAATGTTCCCTGGAAATGCGTTCAAGTTCTCGAACCGAGTTGCGATTCTCGAACCGAGTTGCGAGTGGTCTAACTATACCAAATATTGCAGCAAAGGTTGATCCCATGTAGAACGAAAAGGATAAAGCAATCCACATTTTGAAGAACTGAGCAACAGAAGGATTGCACCCCAGTACTGAATTCTGGCTGATGCCTCCTCCGCATCAATCTCCGACAGCTTTGGAAGGAATCTGATGGGAGGATCTATGAAGATAGGTGGGAAGCATTCCAGCCGACAGCTCACGTCCAATGCGCACGCTTTCCTGGTTTGCTTTGCTTGAAATCACTGGTTGGTTGATAGCATCATGGAACCCAATACTGGAGGAGCTGTTCTAACTGAGACAAGCAAACCGGATACAAGCCCTTTCTGTTGGGGAAACAATATCGCATTGCTCGGACACTGATCAGAATAGAAAGTCTCCGTCTTGCGCAAACCAATGCAACAATGTGTTGCTCCTGCTATGTTTATCACTATGTCTTCTTAAGATTCTATAAAGTTTGTATAGAGCAAAAGCTGTCCACGCAACCTGGGCGATCACCCTTGCACCTGATGGTTCCGTGTGTATGTGCATGAATGCTGCAGCAACATTAAAAAAACACACAACACTAGTCACTAGATCCATGTTCTTTGCGCCTACACCTTCACCTAACATGAGGTCCAGACCTGCCAATCAAGCGTCCACATCTGGGGGCTGAACATGTCCACCATCCAGCCCAGCGCCCCGACGACGTTCGGGACAGGAAACAGCTCCATGGGCCGTTTGCGGCAATGCTGACAGCCGAAAAAAGCTCACAAAAGGGCGACCTCTTCGGAGTTCAGCTTCACACAACAACAGCGCACAGAGATGAACGATGACGAACGGCTGAGAGAATAGACACCAAAATGGTGCTCTACGCGTCCCCCCAACAGCAATATGGGTTACTATATCATACATCCTGGACTTTGAACCCTGTCGCCCAATGACACAATGATGTTGGATGCACAACGCTCATGGCCTCACAACTCGAAGAGATTCCACTCGATCAAATCCGATTCCACTCGCTTTGGGTTTGCTCTTCATTTCATCCGCCAAACCACATGACACGCAAAACAGACTCTATAGTGAATGCCACAAGCATAAAGGCCAAGCAGCCAATGGCAACTGCTCACTTGTCATGGTTTGGGAGATGTCTGGGTCACATGCCCCGAACTCTGGAACGATGGACGCCCATGCAAACAGAAACCACCTCGGCCCTGGGCCGGTTCTTCGGAACATCCACACCAAATCGTCCTTGCCACGACGGAACCATCTCCTGGCCCCTGAACAACCGCACCGTTTCTTGCTTTGTCGCTGTGAAGCCTGATCCACACGAAGTTGAAGCAAACCCCATATGGGCCAGCAGAAAAGAATTCGGTACGCCTCAGACGTTGACCTCCATCCAGTCCAGGAGTTCTACCCGGAGCGCCATGACACCACGACCCCCACGACCAGGAGCTTCAGCCTGGTGTCCATTGATGGCAACCACGGAACAACTTTCATCCCACAAAGGTGTAAGAAGTATTCTGCTTCTTTACAAAATCTCAGTCATGGCGTCACTTTCAGTATCTCCCAGTCATGCTTCAGCGACAGTGTTCGATGCGGAGCAAACATATCGTCGACTACCTTTGTCTTCTGGCTGCGCCCCTTGATCGCTCGACTACAAACCAGCTACAAACCAGCTACCAAACGACCAATTTCTACCCAAAGAAGTGGAGCTCATCGACCATACCGAATCTTCACTACAGGGGACACCCAGTTCACCACACAACACCCCGATCCAGTGAATTTATGGTCGACGCCCACCCAGTGGCTCATTCCGTATATATCCGGGTTGAAACCTTTCGTTGGCCACAGAGTGCACCCTACACAAACGCTCCAATCAAAATTTGCAAAAAACTGGTCCATCACAACACACAGGATCTAGGGCCAAGTTCAAAGGTACCACATTAGGATGGTTCACCAGAGAATCACAAGCCTGAAAAAAGCTGAAAAAGCTTGGACATCCTGGTCCCGTTTCGTTCCAGTTCAGGAAGACAAGTCCAGGATGACTAGCAAATGTTCGTGGCCAATCCTGCCAATCACAAAACCTCAAGTCTTTTCTCCAAACCATCAGTCCCATCCTGCCAATTGAATATTTACGTGAAGGAACTGCAAAATATAGCTGCCAGTGTCCATGTCACTAGCCGAACAGCGCTTGCTCGCCTACTTTTCCCCTCCACATGCTTCAGCCTGTGATAGGCCGGCCTGCAAAGCATCAATATCTTGGCTGCCTGCCGAAAACTCTTCTGGTCCTGGCGGAGCAAGTCAGACAAGCCCACGACCAGCCAATCTTTGCGCAATCCATTTTGGAGTCCAATTTGTGGCCAGGCAAAATGGAACCAGAGTCTGAAGTTCTCAAGCGAGGTTTCTTGCTTGTATAATCCTTACAGTGCTCCAAAGCACTGACTTCCCAATTGGGAGAATCAGGGCAGTAGTTAGCTCTGACAAAAAGGAGGTGTCAAGGGTCCAGAGTCTGAAAGAATCCTTCGACCGTTTCTGGGGCTCGCTTCCCTAAGCTACTCGAGAGAATAGCAGAACTTGGGAAATTCGCCAACACCGAATGACCCGAAAGGAACCGGAACACCTCCAAACCCCCGCCCCCCTCTTCACCTCGCTGCTTTTCCCAAAATGCATGGAACGGCAGGTCTGCCATGGTCTACCCTCAAACGGACCGACCCGCCTTCGGGGGCATATGGAAAGACGGTAGAGTCGGATTCGGCTCACAAACCAGAAGGAAAGAGCAACAGAGTTGGGGTGACACACTTCATGTTCACATGATCTAACCAATTAGGTGTCTTAACCAAGTGGTGTATTAAGCAGTGGTTTGGGTTGCTGGGTCCAGTGGGCGGTCCACACAGTTCACGGACTTCCACAGGCGTTGTCCAGGGGAGGAAGTGTTCATTCTTGGAAAACATATCTGAACCATTCCGAATCATTTATATGTGTACGTAGTCAACTTGTAGTGCAAAACATATCTGTGGCAAAACTAATATCTGAGCCGGAAAAACATATCTGAGCCGGGGACTAATATATATATATATATATGTGGTCCACGGCTCTTGAGAAACTTTATCTAGCGGATTCATGGGCACATCATGATGGGTGGGTGGGATTGTTGGGGTGGTTGACACGAAACATAGTCTCACCTCAAATGGCACAAAGCGCCCCATCCGACCCTGGCGATGAATTTCACACCCTACTTCTTGAAGCGCCACTGCCAGGGCCCAGGCCCAGTGAATGATGGAACAAGTCTCCAGGTGAGTTCTTCTCGGTTGTTGCCGATACAGTCGACCTCGTGTGGGGCCCAACGGTGCTCTGCAAAATGGGCGCGACGTCTTCGTCTCAGCTACGAAAAACACACAAGTCCAATCACTTTTGGTCCCTACCGTGAATCCCTAGTTGCCTGAGATTCTTTACGTCCCCGCAACACGTTAGACCTGCTATATACTTGCTACTTGGGACTTCGCCCCCAAAACCCTTGAGATCCTCGGCGATTCTCCAGGCGCCCCACCGGGAGCCTCATTTCGTCCACCGCCTCGGTCGAGGACTTCGCCACCCGGTGCGGTCATGCCTTCGGCACCCGGTCCGTATGGTGGGAGCACCGTGGGTACGGTGGGAGCCATGCCGCGATGGATGGTGATGGAACTGATAGCTTAACTTATTAACCAACAAAGTGTTGAGAACCTTTTCATGGTCAGAACTTTGCCCTCCGCATCTTTCTGTGACTGCAGAGCACCTCAGAAAAAAACGGCCCCCAAAGCACCGAGGGGTGCTCCCCCCATGCCTCCGCCGGGAGGCCTCCAGGAGCGGCTGCGGGATCGTTGTTTTTTACTCCTGCAAGGCGACGGCAACGAGGCAATTCCAACGAGCTGGGAAGCAACTTGTCATCATAGGTTTCCGAAACCCCAGAGTCCGAAATGATTTTAGCGTTTCACACGCAGTTTGAGGTTGCTAGCGTGCCTTAGAGGCGTGAACTGCACCCGCAGCAACTTAGCATCGTCAATGTACTAGTAGCTGTGCTCCTGCGCAGCAGCAAGCGATCGCCTGGCCCAAGAGCTGCGAGAAAAGGAACTATGCTGTCAATAGCGCAACCAACAAGTGAGCTAAACAAGTTGGACCGGAATGAACTTTGAGTTGAGCCCTGGTTCATTCTGATGTCCATTTCCTTCTACAGTCAGGGGATGTTGGCGGAACTAGATAACCACATGATCACGGTGTTTGGAGAAAAAACAAGATGGAACCCACGAACCCGAATGCAAACACGATCGAAAAACTACATATGTCCAAATGACACTCTTGTAGGACACTCTTGTGGGAAAATCTTCTGGGACACTCTTGTAGGACACTCTTGTAGGACACTCTTGTGGGTCACTCTTGTAGGAAACTCTTGTGGGACACTCTTGTAGGACACTCTTGTGGGACACTCTTATAGGACACTCTTGTGGGACACTCTTGTGGGACACTCTTGTAGGACACTCTTGTGGGACACTC